GAATGAAAGTAGAAGCTCTTGAAAGAAAAATGAATGGTTTTTATAAGCTAATACCGGATTTAAGGCTGGAGTTGGCTTGTAGTGTCTAAAGCAGAGAGGTGGGGATGATCCAACATGGATCATGCTGGGTTTGATCCACTCGCCCACCCTGACACTGCACAGACAGTGGCTTAGCCACCTTAGTTTCCTTTAACAAGTTATGGGCTGTGCAAGCAGGCCAAGATGGCACAACTCTTTCAACTCCCAGAGCACTTCTACAGCACAGATGATTTGTATACACTGTCATTCTGAGCCAAATTTGCAGGTTCACGGGAAACCTGTGAGATCCATGGTGTTTTAGTCCCCGGGCTGATTGATTAGGCGAATAAAAGATGGACACCAGAACTGAGGCAGAATACAGACACTTTCTGTCCAAATTGGGGAACTGGTCCAGTCTCCATTCCCCTGTGAGAACAAGAGAAGAGAGTAAAGGAACCCCTATGCTCAGAATCACAAACTTAACCCAATCAGAGGCACTGAAAAAAATGGAATTATGCTTCCCATTCCTCCATCACGAACACAAGGGAAAAACACAAAAATCCCAAGAGGAACAATTCTTCTCTGTTTTATTTACCCCCAATGCAATTCTCTAGGCTTCTTATGCCTACCTCGAGGGAAACCGGTTTTCCAGGGAAAAAAATCATTGAGCTGATAGGATTTCAGGGATAGAAACTGAGAGAGAATACCTCCTGATAGGATGTTGACACAATAGAACAGGGCTCTCAGTTTTAGATGCCTCCTATCCTGGCTCATTTGTAGTCAATTCTGTGCCATCAGGAAGGAGCCAAACCAGAGTACGTAGGACACCATGTGACGTTGCACTCCATATGTTTTATGGAAATCTGCTTATAGGTGGAATATGCGTTACGTAAAAGGTCAGAGAAACCTGTGCAGGAGGGAGGTATTTAGGATTCTCCCACCAGGAGGAGGTGCGGTTTCTCAGAAAAAGCTTCTCAGCGCCCAAACAGGGGGCAGACAAGACAGTTCCCCACCGGCCGCCAGACACATGTTTTCACAGGGAATCAGATCCCCCTGGGGTAAAACTCCTCCAAGGATGAGCGGCTCCAGGAATGTCAGAGAAGGGAATGACTGTTTGCCTTAGGAGGTGGGTGAGGGAAACCTGCATGTCCTTAGGTCCCTCCAGCGTCTGACGAAACCATTTTTGGAGAAGGGGTCGGGGTAGCCGAGGAAGACAAATATTCCTCCTATTTGTATGCATGTATCATTCTTGTACCTGAAGCTAGAACTATGAAGTATAACGTTGAGGTCCTATTGTAATTATGCAAAGCGTGGGCCACTAATGGTGGTTTAAAATCTTGATGGCTCCCCTTGACCCAGACAATTGGTTGTAAATGGTTTATTTACCTGCAAACCTTCCTGTGTATGTGTGGGCCAAGCCAGGAAGAATGGAGACTAGGGGGGTCTTACAGTGACATGTGCCCATGTCACATGATACTGGAATCCATCTTAAATCTGGTATTTTTCCATTTAGAAGGAAGGGTGGGGACTCAGAGAGACAAAAGATTCCCGCCTTGTGCCAAAGCTATAAAAGGGGGCGAAACAGGACAAAGGGGCTGCCGGTCATGAGAAAACCCCTGCTTAGCACCTAAGATGTCTGCTGGAACTAAGAAGGACTGTACCAGGGGAAAGGTTTGGGCTCAGACTAGGAAGGAGTCTAATCTGTGAAAGAAGCTTATTGGACCATCTCTGAGGTATTACCTGTAATCAGTTTCTTAATATATTAGGCTTAGGCTTGCGTGTTTTGTTTTATTTTGCTTTGTGACTTACTTTGTTCTGTCTGTTATTACTCGAAACCACTTAAATCCTACCTTTTTATACTTAATAAAATCACTTTTCTTTATTAATAAACCCAGAGTAAGTGTTAATACCTGGGGGAGCAAACAGCTGTGCATATCTCTCTATCAGTGATATCGAGGGGGAACAATTGACGTTGTACCCTGTATAAGCTTTATACAGGGTACAACGGATTTATTTGGGGTTTGAATCCCATTGGGAGCTGGGTGTCTGGGTGCTGGAGACAGGTGCTGAGCTGTTTTGTGTTAAAGTCTGCAGCTTTGTGGGCGTGGCCCAGACCCTGGGTCTGTGTTGCAGCAGGCTAGGGTGTCTGGCTCAACAAGGCAGGGTTCTGGAGTCCCAAGCTGGCAGGGAAAACGGGCTCAGAGGTAATTTCAGCACATCAGGTGACAGTCCCAAGGGGAGCTCTGTGACCAAAACCATCACAGTGGCGTAGTCGACCAGGATATGTGCACAGCTGATTGCTTTGAGACACTGGTAATGATTTTAAGTGAGTTTTAAGTGTGCTGGCTGGAAAACAGACAAAGCGGTTACTGCTTTGTTATTTTCTGTTTGCTTATTTCGATTAAGGGAAACTGAGGCAGGAAAATCAGCAAAATGAGTGAGAGTGAGGAACAATGTGTTGAGCCCTTCTGAAAATCTGGCTAAAGATTTTAGTGCTTAACTGGGAGCCTAGTTCTTCTGAAAATCTGGCTCTAGTGGTGGGTGTGAGACCTTCTGAAAATTCTGGCCATTGTGTCTGGAAGCTCCAAGAACCGTCACAACTTTGAGCATTTACTAGAACAGAGTGAAAAAACCTTCCTTCCTTGACCTACAATCCCAATATTTCATCTTGATTCCAGGTTTAAGTTTCAAGAGAATTTGATTTTATGTTTAGATGCAATGCCAAACAAACACCCCTCTCTAGACATTTGAAGAGGGAGAAAGAAATAGACCTGCCACTAAACCACGTTGCCTTTCATCAGTAGCCACCTGAGCAACAGGGTAACCACTGGCCTACAGGTGAAAGGCCCATAGCCCATGCTCAGAAGCCTTCAGCAGCTAGATCTCAGGAATGGAAGAGTTTAATCATCTGTCTCCGGGGTGGTTACTTCCAAATACTTGTATATAGCGCTGGGTGAAAGATTTGGGGGTGAATATTATATTTGGTGAAATATTTTGGTGGACCCAAAATGATTGTTTTGTTTTGTTTTTGTTTCACCAAGAAAATGCGGGGGGGGGGGTGAATTGATCTTGGGTCAAACTGCAATGTTGTTATAATTTGGGTTAGGCTAGGTAGCAAGGAAAAAAATCAATTGTTTGCACAAGTGTATTGGTCTAAAAGTCCATAGAGCCTGGGCTTTAAGGGGCAGAGTGCAAAACTGTCCATATTTTATTCATAGGTAGAGTGAAGTTTTGGTTTTCCCCTGCACTGCAAACAGTTTTCCAGCATTCTAAGGAGCATAGGAAGTTACCTTTTTTCTGTTGAATCGCAAGTTAGGAAGGGAAGGAAGATTTTTGTTGAAGGGTGTCATTCCCTGACTGGGAATTGAACCCAGGATGTGGTGGTAAAAGCACCAAATCCTAACCACTAGACCACCAGGGAAAGTGCTTTTGATAGCTTGGGCTTGACTTTCTAGACCTACTTTCTGTCCAACTGACGAACTTCCTTCTTCTTCAAAGGATGTTAACACAAGCTCTGAGCTCCTCATTTCCTTACGCTTCCCTTCATAGTTTTAGCACAGTAAATTGATATAAAAGAGAAACAGAAAACATATTAAAACAATTTCCAGTATTATTATATATTGAGGCCACGTCTTTTTTTTTTTATGTTTTGTTATAATAGTTTTATGGCTATCTTGTTTTACTCTCCATGCGCTTACAGAAATGTACAAGGGATGAATAAGATATGGTTGGAATCTTCAGCCTCAAGCAATCTCCATCACAATGAAGAGGGCTGGTGGAGGATTTGAGAAAGGAGCATTTATCTCAACTACTCAGTGCTGGCAACGATGTAGCAAGAAGTAGAGAAGCTACAAATGGCTGATGGGGGGCAATCAGCTTCTGTCACCTTATTTTTTCCCTCTCTTCCCTGCGCTAGAAGAGACTCAACTCTCGTAGGACCATGGAATTGTCAATTTGTCTTCTCTTCATCTTCTACTAAAGGTCTGAGGAGAGAAAGTGGATTCCATTCTGGCCTGAGAATATAAGGGAAAGAGCAATATCTGAGACTGCAAGATCAAACGCCCAACGTGGGGCTCGAACCCACGAGCCTGAGATTAAAAGTCTCATGCTCTACCGACTGAGCTAGTTGGGCAATGCCTGAAGGTTTCTCAGGCTCGGTCTACACTAACCCCCCAAGTCGAAGTAAGGTACGCAACTTCAGCTACGTGAATAACGTAGCTGAAGTCGACATACCTTAGTTCGAACTTACCGCGGTTCAGACGCGGTCCACATGCGGCAGGCAGGCTCCCCGTCGACTCCGCGGTACTCCTCTCGCCGAGCTGGAGTACCGCAGTCGACGGCGAGCACTTCCTGGTTCGACTTATCGCGTCCAGACCAGACGCGATAAGTCGAACCCAGAACTTCGATTCCCCAGCCGCCGAACTAGCGGCTGGGTGTAGACCAGCCCTCAAAGGCACAGAGGGTGCCGAAGGAGCCCTAAGGAAGTTTCTTTGCACACTGAGATTCGTTTTCTGACGTTTGCCTTCTTTCCTGGTGCCTTTGCTCTGCAGCTAGCAAATAGGGCCTGTTACAAAGCTGGTTAGATGCTGGCATCTAGACCAGAGAAGTGGGGTTCATCTAGCAGCTGCTCAGAGAAACCTGTGCGGGAGGGTGGAATTTAGGATTCTCCCACCAGGAGGAGGTGCGGTTTCTCAGAAAAAGCTTCTCAGTGCCCAAACAGGGGGCAGTCAAGACTGTTCCCCACCCTAGATTTATATTAAAATATTAATCTAGGATGAACCTGAATGTTTATTGCTGTTTTCGGTGAGCTCCACGAGGCTGTTTCAGAAACTGGTCCAGTCCCCAGTACAGAGGGTACAAGAAGAGAGAGTGAAGGAACCCCTGTGCTCAGTATCACAACCTGAGCCCAACCAAAAGCATTGAAACAAGCTCAAATTACGCTTTAGGTTCTTCCATCAGAATCACAAGAGCAAGACAAATAAATCTCAGGAGGAACAGTCCTCTGCTTTCATTTACCCCATCGCAACCCTCTTCACTTCTACTTCTGCCTACCTAGAGCCTCGTCCAGGAAAACCACTCAGCTGATTATAATTTTGGCATAGAAACCCAGGGAGGGGTTGTGCTCCCCCTCGATGTGAGTGGATAGCATTCTGACTTTGTCTAAGGGGTCTCTCAGCTTTGGCGTCTCCCAGTTTGTCAACTCTGTGCAGGAAGGAAGCAGGCAAAGTGCTAACCTCCGCCCCCCATGGCCTCCAGGTTCATGGTGTTTGCACAGCATCTGCAAGTCCATCTTTCATCTCCTTGTCCTCCTCAGTGACCCGAACCCTTTCACAAAAATGGTTTCATCCGAAGTTGGAGTGACCTAATTACCTGCAGGTTTCCCTCACTCATGTTTATTCTATTGCATTTCGAAATGTTTTATTGTTGTGCCTGGGAGCTGGCAAGGAAAGAGAAGCCGGGGGTGCAGCATTTTGGCTGCTTCCTGAGGGCATAGAACTCAGAACATGGCAATGCTCAGAGCCCCGTTATACAGAGTCAGAATGCTATCAGCTCACAGTGAGGGAGAGAAACACCCCTCCCTTAGTTTCTTGTGAACCTGACGGAGGATCCCAAATCATAATTTGATTTTTTTCAGATTACTTTCTGTCCAACATATTAAGTTGCTCCATTGTCCATTCCCCTCAGGGGAGTGCATAGAGTGCTCAAACCCCTTTGCTCAGGATCACAATCTTAGCCCAACTGAGGACACTGTAACAAACTCAAATGATGCTTCAGCTTCTTCCCTCAGGATTACAAGAGCAACACAAAGAATACTCAAGATGAACAAGCCTCTGCTGCTTTCATTTACCCCAGCGCCACCCTCTCAGCAGCCTACCTGCACCCTCTTCTAGGAAGGATACGCAGCTGGTAGGAGCTCTGGCACAGAAACTAAGGGAGGGTGCTGCTCCCCCTTGCTGTGAGCTGATAGCATTCTGACTCCATGTAATGGGGCTCTGAGCTTTGCCATGTTGTGAGATCTGTGCCCTCAGGAAGCAGCCATCAGTCATTCCCTTCTCCGACAGTCCTGGAGGCATGCTTCCTTGGAGGAGTTTTACCCCAGGGGGATCTGATTCCTTGCAAAAATATGTGTCTGGTGGGGAACCATCTTGTCTGCCCCCTGTTTGGGAGCGGAGAAGGTTTTTCTGACTCTCCCACTAGATGAATCCAACAGCACCTTCTCTTGGTGGGAGAATCCGAAACCTCCACGCAGGTTTCTCTGACCAGGTGCTAGATGAACCCCACTTCCCTGGTCTAGACACCAGCATCTAACAAACCTTGTAACAGGGCCTGTTTGCCAGCTGGAGAGCGAAGAAACCAGGAAAGAAGGCAAATGTCAGAAAATGAATCTCAGCTCGCAAAGAAACTTCCTTTTTTTAGTTTTCTTGGTGAAACAAAAAAAAATCATTTTGGGTCTACTAAAACATTCCAGTAAACAAAATATTCATTCTACCCAGCTCTATAGACAAGTCTTTGGAAGTAACCCCCGGAGAGAAGGATCATTAGCCTTTTCCATTCCTCAGATCTAGCTGTGAAGCCTTCTGAGCATCAATGATGGGCCTTTCAGCTGGTGACCATTTTGCTCAGGTAGCTATGCCTGAAAGGCAATGTGAGTTAGTGATTCATCTATTTCTTTCACTCTGTCCAAATGATACAGAGGGGTGTTTGTTTTGCATTGCATACACAAATAAAATCAATTCTGTTGAAACCTAAACCTGGGATCAAGATGAAATATTGTGACTGACCGACAAGGAGAAAATCTCTCCTGAGTTCAGCAGAAGAAAAGTTTTCTCATCAGGTTCTAGCAAATGTTCAAACTTATTTTTGAACAGAATTTTCAGAAGGTCTCACAGTCACCACTAGAGCCAGATTTTCAGAAGAACTCAGCTGCCATTTAGGAACCAGAATTTTTGGTCAGTTTTTCAGAAGGGGTCAACCCACTGAGTGCTGAGCTACTTTGGGGCAGTGGGGGGAAGCTGGTACAGATGCTGGGTGCTGGTTACTTGACTGTGTGGCTCACGCTGTGGGAGTTTGAAGTTCACTATTACCTTCTCATGAAGCTGAGTATCTGAAATCTGCTTCAATCTTAGCACACATCTTTTATAAAACATAATAAGTGAGCCAGGAGACTACAACATCTCAGAACTCACAGGACTACAGGAAACCTACATCTGTTTAGGTGAGGGTGATTGTGTATAAAAATCAGCTGTGCTTTAGAAGATGTGCTATCTCTGTCTCCCTACGGAGTTCATAACACATTAAAGAAAACTGGGGTTAACAAGGTGCATGTTTCCTGGTGTCTAGATGGCTGAGTGATCTAAAACTCAAAGCTCTGTTTTTCCTTTCATTGTGTGTTGTGGTCTCCATATAGATTCTTGGGTTCAAATCCCACTGCTGACACAACCCTTTCCTTCTATGTGAAGAACTGGCCTCACTTTCATCTCCTTTGTAACATTAGAACAGCCCTTGCTTAGCATTTCTATTAGAGTAATTGCAAGAGAAATTTGAGGCTGGGCAGAAAGAGTGCCTTTTCTCTCTGCCAATCAGTTTTTGTCTCCTTCCATTCCAAGCCCTTTCTCAAATACATCCATATGTCCCAGACTTTAGGGTCTTAATTTAATTGCCACTCCTGGAGCCCCATGAGTTCAGAGATTTTGTAGTCTCCCTGCTGACTTATTATGTGCATAAAAGACTGTCAGTGAAGACAAGCCATAAGCTCTATTAAATGGGCCAAATGCTAGTGGTTATTACATTTGCTTCATACGCGAGAGGATGGTGGTTCAAAACCTCTTACAAACAATAACCCTTGTCTCGCTTCTGAGTCCTTTTGTCTTCTTTCAGTCCATTTCCTTTCCTTTCTCAAATACATCCATAAATTCTATGCTTTCTTCCTCATCATTTTTCCTTTCATGAAACTTTAACGTCTAAAGGAGGGAGTTTAGCCTGCATTCTGAGGAGAGGAACAGACCATCATTTGGGAGATTACCAGCTACTTAACAGATATGAGAGTAGAACCCTTTGTCCTGCATATTTAGTTCCCAGTCAGCAGTTTTCCCTCGGTTTTGTTTCTTCTGAGCTAATTACAAACAGCCTCATGTCCCTTGTTCATGTCAGAGAAATCTATTGACTGATTATCACATTTCCCCTCCTTTCCTGCCTAGGCAGGGTCGGGGTGTGAGGAATCAGAAAATAACAACTGGAAATTTTTAAGCCAGCCTTTTAACACACTTTCCCTTTTGAAATAACATTATTTCCTTAGCCCTTTTTAACACTCAACCTCTTCTTCTTCTTCAGGTGATGTTACCGCAAGCTCTGAGTTACTAATTTCCTTACTGTGCCCTTGATATTTTTAGCACAGTAAATTGGTACAAAATAGAAACAGAA